AGTAGAGGTATTTCAAAAACCGCTTCTGGACCTTCTCCAAAAGATCTATGTTGGCCTCTGCTTGAGGAGACCAAACGACAGAGGCATACTCAAGGTGAGACCTAACAAGAGTATTGTATAATATTACTATTTTTTTGATATTTTTGAAGTGTTTTGTGTTTCTTATGATAAAGCCCAATGCTCGATATGCCTTATTGACAACACAATAATAATGATCATTGAATTTCATATTCATTTGGAATTGATGTTCAACTCAGCTGACGAGGAAGCAAGTATGAATACTGACGTAGAATTCATGAATGAGGTGAACTTAAGATACCACGAAATCAAATTTTACTCATACATATAAGATGACTAGGGAAGGTACAAGCTCTCAGAAATCAGAATCTAAATCCAAACTAAAACTTCCCAAAATTGAATTCAGGCAATTTGGAGGAGACATCAAGAGTTGGCTTAGTTTTTGGAACCAATTTATAGTCGAATTGATGAAGATTTTGACATAGAAGATGAGTATAAGCTGTAAGGACGTATATCAGGAGGTGGTTTTGGGTTTTGGGGGTTCAAACCCTCCCTTCTATTAGTCCCATTGAAAAATTCTGATCATAATGCTGCAATATTAGGCAAGTACATAATCACTTACAATAAATTATTTTTTTGAAGAAAAATAAAAGTTTTGGGCGTGGCACCCGAAAAAAATGTTCATTTTTGACAATATACTCCGGCGGCACCTGATGCGCCTGCGGTATGCTATGCTATGCCAGATTAACTATACAGGATATACATCGTCTGGTCTAAAATTGAAACCCCTTCGAGCATAGATCACGAGCCACCACTGCTCTAAGCCCCCCCCCCCCATGTAAAAGCTATAACTAAGATCTGTTAATAGAAATTTATGCAGGAGAACTTAAATTGGTCTTAACAAATCTTAATACAAAAAATAAATTACCAACATTTTTTGACAAAATCGAGTCTCAGAAGCCAGAAGCGTCTTGACTTCCTAATAGATTTTCTCAGATTAGAAGTGCTGAATGAAGACAAAATTTCTCTTGCTGTATCCAGTTTTAAAGATAGACGGAAGCCTGAATAGGCCAGGAAAGAGAGGTTGAACCTCGCAAACTCGACACAAGCTCTGTTTTATTTTATTTTTTTTCTGATAGAAAAAGGGCTTCTTATTATGGGTCTAACTTTTTCCAACAAAATTTCACCCTGGAACATCCCCTTTCATCCCCCTAAAGGTCGTTTTTTGTGGTTTTTCCAAAACGTAGCGCTTCGGCTAAGTTTTACAAAAAAAATACCTCTATAGAAAATTAAAGAGGACTAAATTCTATACAATTTATCCAGCGACAGCATATGTCTATCACCTACCCTTTAGTCGGGGTGGCGCTTTAAAGTTGAATGACCTTGAAAAAGATGTTTTGGAAATTATTATTTTTTTACTGAACAGTAAAGCAAATCCACCACAAACCATACAGAAAATACTCATCAATAATTGGCCGATTTTTTGGTATATGTTTTATTTGAAAACAGTTACCCGTTTAAGATATACAGGGTGTTGAAATTTAAACAACCCCCTCTCATATCATCTGAAGGGTTAATGCTAGGCTGTTCAAATTTTCAGGGATTATTGATGTAGGAATGATATTGAAAAATTCGTACAATGCACCCCTACCTGGAACTACCCCAAAATATTGAAAAAAAAATGCTTTTTTTTTAAATTTTCTCGCACACAATGCCCTCCATGTGAATGGTTCAAATATTATTTTGTGCATACCTCCGACATATTATATGCATAGACACCAGAAGCATTTTTATAATCCAATCTCTCTGGACGAGAAAAAAATATATTAAGCCCTTATCTTACCAGAAAAAAAATAAAACAACTTATGTCTAGTTTGCGAGGTAGTCTAGGAAAATTGTCGATTTTCAAAAAAAAAAAATCCTACCCAAAAAAACTTTTCAGGGATGATAGGGGGAGGGTGGGTGATCATAAAACCGAAAATATCAAACATTCACCCCTCTGGCGTTTTGCGCTATAGGGGTTGAAAGTGCGCCATTGGCGATTACTTGGTACCTATTGATTTTACAAAAAAATTTTTCAAATAAAAGATGTGCAACATTATTTGATCTACAATGTTTATCTAAAAACTTTTTTGATTAAGGGCCGTCTGTGGTCATAAGGGCCGTTTGAAATTTTATAATGAAAATGAAAAATTTTAACCAACGTGAAACAATTTTCTACAACTCATACAACATTTTTGCTTTATGAAGTTTTTACTCACCCCCTGCCGTTTTTCAATAGGGGTAGTTTAAAGTTTTTAGATTTTTTTACAAAAAAAATTTCTTTATAAAAGTTTTATAAGATGACATTTCCTACAATTTTTCCTAATCAACTTTTGTTGTAACTCACCTCCATTCAGCGGGAGGACACTTCCCTCGAGGAAATTTTGGTTTTTAGGGGTATATATTAATTTTTTTTTTCTTTTCTCGCCTTTAGTGCATATAAAAAGTTGCATTAACATTGTATTAAAAGGATTTTTTTTTTCACCACCTTTTTGTCTTTAGGGGTAGTTCGCCTATTTTCAACTTTACAGAAAAAAATTATTAAGAAAACTTGTTCATTTTATTATTTTAAGCAACTTTTCTCTATAACTTTTTTTTGTAAAGTTGAAAATAGGCGAACTACCCCTAAAAACAAAAAGGTGGTGGAAAAAAAATCCTTTTAATACAATGTTGATTGCGCCTTTTTATATGCACTAAAGGCGAGAAAAGAAAAAAAAATTAATATATACCCCCAAAAACTAAAATTTCCCTAAGAGAAGTGTCCCACCGCTGAATGGGGGTGAGTTACAAAAAAAGTTGATTGGGAAAAATTGTAGGAAATGTAATCTTATAAAACTTTTATGAGGACATTTTTTTTGTGAAAAAATTAATAAACTAAACTACCCCTATTGTAAAACGGCAGGGGGTGAGTAAAAACTTCATAAAGCAAAAATGTTTTATGTGTTGTAGAAAAATTTTTCACGTTGGTTAAAAATTTTTATTTTCATTATAAAATTTCTAACGGCCCTTCTGACCACAGACAACCCTTAATCAAAAAAGTCTTTAGATAAACATTGTAGATCAAATAATGTTGCACATCTTTTATTTGAATTTTTTTTTTGTAAAATCAATAGGTACCAAGTAATCGCCAATGGCGCACTTTCAACCCCTATAGCGCAAAACGCCAGAGGGGTGAATGTTTGATATTTTCCGTTTTATGATCACCCACCCGCCCCCTATCATCCCTGAAAAGTTCATTTGGGTAGGAATTTTTTTTTTGCAATACATGTATTTTTCGACTATTTTCCTAGACTAAGGTTCAACCTCTCTTTCCTGGCATACTTATCTATAGAGTTTTTGCTGCGGTTTCTGTTTATCCGGGCATCGCCGACAAAGAAATCATTTTTTCTAGGAATTTCGAATATCTGTGACGGCGACTATACCCCATACCAGAAAATTGTCATTTAGCAACATTCACCGGCGATACTGGTTTAATTGAGTGGAAAAAAAGTATTGAATAATCAACAGAAAAACTGCAAAACGCTGTCACTGAAATTCAAAATTGGACCAAAAAATGGCGAGTAAAATTAAATTGAATCAATTCATGTTGATTTACCAAACAAAAACGTAAATCACATACAAATTACAATTATTAATAACAATAATAACACTCCTATACCATATTCAAATCAAGCAAAATATCTTTTCCTACGAGCGTGCGCAAAGTAGTACTTTTCCGGACGCATTACCGTTCTCAAAGTTACACTTTTCCGCACTCAGTGCGGATACGAGCCTTATCCGCACTGAGTGCCGAAAAGTAAAACTAATTGTCAAGCAACAATAAGTGCACCTGTCGACTTTGACACATGATGACAAATTTTTCCTTTGTTTCTATATCAGCCAACATCTATACAAACACTGAATATAATTAGCTTTGACACATTGTCAGATTTGTGTTCTCCATTTACATGCAAGAATCTACAAACTTCTATCACATCAAATTTAAACGCTTTAAGATGAACAGTTCTGACGAGGATTTCAATTTTCTGTTCTTTTTTTTTTTGTTATTCAATTTTTTGAGGAATGATTAGGTTAGCTCAAAACTCTTTCTAAATTTTTATTAAGTTCTTTCAAATCCGACCCCTAAACTAAAATGTCATCGAAATATCCAATTACATCTGGAAATTCATCAAGAATATTAGTTACAATTCTCTGAAATATATCAGGAGCATATTAAATATGCCAGATGGCATTCTCAAGTTTCGACGTCTGCCACACGGAGTTGCCATTGTACTAAGTTTCGAACTACATTGGCTAAATGGAACTTGTTTAAATTTCGATGAAGCATCGATCAAGTAATGAATATATACTTTTGAATTATTTAATTAGGTGAAATCTTTTAAAAAACTCATTAAGGAATCTAGATTTAATCACCATTGGGTTTATTCGCAACCACTATTGGATGTATCAATCAGTTGCTTTCAAATTTTTTTTCTATAAAGCCTTGAGATTCCATTTCATCTAATTTTTGTTTGAGTTTTATCTTAAAGCAAAGGGTTATTTTTCTTGCAGCAGAAATTTTTGGAACAGAATTTTCTTTCAAAACTATTTTACATTTACATTTAATATTTACTTTTCCAGTTCCTTTCGAAACGCCTTGAAATTTATTTTAAATTTCCTCGAAAATTTCTGTTAAAGATTGATTCACATTATCAACATATGTAGGTAATATATTTTCTTACTTTCAATCTCCCAAAAGATTCAAAATCGATTGAGAATTATATTTGATTGAACAGAATTTCAAAAAATTACCATCTACTTTATTCGTGTTTTTTTTTTAAGCCTAATTTTGCGATGTTCTATTGTAATGCTTTTTTTCTGCTGTTTCATTTCAATCTAAAAGTAAATTACTTCTATTTACATTCTACAAGAATAAGCCTAAAAATGTTTAATTTTATCAGACGTATAGTGAACACCGGGCTGCACGAAGTTCCTGAGCTATTTTTCCTGCCTCCCGAGAACACTTTGTTTTTATTGTAAGTATAGTAAGTATTAATTTGTTTGTTTTTTTTTTTTAATTTCATTTTACATTTTTCGGTTTTGAAAGAGAAAAAAGTTCACGTTATTGCATTCTCTTTACTATTAAGTCCCTTGGTAATAAAAATACCATAAAATGAAATAATAAATTCAGAAAATATAACTTTCGGCTGAATCAGCGTCTTTTCCAAAATAGATATTATGTATTTGTTATTTTAATAAGGGTATAGAGGGACTTTATAGGCATCTAGACTGATGAAGTTTATGAAAATTTATTGTCAGCAATGAACTTATTTTCATTTTCATTGATAATTCCATAGTCTTTGAATAATTGGGAAACAATTATAGCCCTGAAGAAGGAGAAAAAAAGCTCCGGAAACTAACTTGACCATTTCCCAACTACTCAAACACTTTGTCAGCAAAAAAACTCCAAATTAAAAGAAGTTTAATTTGATTACCCAGTAGAAATTATATGAAAAATCGCCAAATTCCGAGGGCTAGGAAAATTACAATTAAATGTTTGAATGCAATGTTAATACAATTAGTACAATTAACTAAGCACAATGTCCTCTATTCTTCAATTATTGTAGTAGCTCTGTTCCGGCTCTAAACACGTGCCAAATGCATGATTTTCACGCCTTTGTGCTTTATTAATAGTCCTTTACATTTCGTGTGATTTAGGAATTTTAATTGAAATTTGTCCATTTGTCAGTTTTTCTGTATGTAATATTGATATTGCACTTCTTGTTAAATATGGGTTTTACAAATGCCTATATAGAAAATAATTTATTCATATTTGGTGAAAACAATTATCATCTACTGAATTCAATTTGGTTTTAATTTCATCATATATTACAAAAAAATAATGCATAAATGAAGCTTATAACGTTGTAATTGATTTTTGTACAGGGTGATTCATTAAGAATGGCACTCGGCCATATCTCAAAAACTATTCATCGTAGTCTTGTCGGAAAAAAATCATCCCATAAATATGGCCAAGAGAAAATGCTGGAAATATATTTCAGCTTTCTAAAATGACCGTAAGGGGGCGTAACCCAACTGTCAAAGTACAAATATGGTTTTATTTTTTAAATTTCAAATGGAAACGTATTTCAAAAATGCTAGCAATAGATTTTTGATGAAATTTCACACAATTTTGATTCATTACTTTTTACCATAACTTATCGGATAAGACAGTTATGAGCTGTCAAATATTGTAACTTAAGAACACGAATAACTTCAAAACGACTCAACAAATTGGGTCGATCTTAGGTTCGTTGGAAAGACAAGAGTCTGTTCTTTAATTTTATTGTAAAAAATTCCAACTTCAGTTAGTTGGACTGACTCTATAGGTGGATATTTGAAAACAATTGAATTTTTCTAATTTTTCTCAAATTTTCAAATGGAACGGTATATTTAAGATATGTTCAATCGATTTTTGAGGATGTTTTACATAGTTTTTCTTTATTATACCTTCCTACAAACGAATTCCAGAGAGTGTTAAATTTAATTTTATCAAAAATAATCAATATTTATGAAAAAGCCCTCGTAAATAATGACTTCGCATTTCTGACAGTTGATTATCATCATTGATGAATGTCAAATAATGGAAAAAGTGCGTTAGGAAATTACAATAGAAACTATATTATGCAATGATCATGTAATGATAGCCATTAATACACGAGCATATTGTAGGATACGAAACTTGAAGAAGAAATTCATAATTGTTTTGAGAATAGTTAACTATGTGGCGTCATTGTTCCGCGAGTCCGTTGTGTTCAACCCTGGATGGCTCAACTATTGTGTACAACCCTGGCGGCCTGACGTGACGTGACAGAAGACAGCTGTCCCAGGTTGTTGTTTACTTCTAGTCAGCTTGTTGCCGCGCAATTATGATATCGTGTTGTTGTTGTTAACAAAATAAAGTATCTCGATTTATTTGTATGTTCAGTGCCCAGAATTAAACCGAGTTATTAGTAAAACAGTGTTTTCATTCGCTGGTGATATATCAAGCAAACACATAGCAGTAGTAGCTATAACTGGTGACCCCGACGTGATATATCTCCGCGTACCACTCGGCCTCTAACCTAAAAGACGTGTCTGACTACTAAAAAAATCAAGATGCAAAGCAATTTCGACTCCTCAGTAGATCCTGATCAGCAATTGGCTGCAAACAGCTCTTTTACCAACCAGCAACCAGACAGGAGTTCGTCAGTGAGTATTCCTATGCCTCAACCTTCTGGCCCTCACGGCAGTACAGCATTTGATCCCGCGGTGCATTTTAATCCAACAAATCACCCGGTGAGCTATCAGCAAGCATATGCCCAACCAGTAGTAAATTCGTTGCCAGCCCCCATGATGCTCAACCAGCAGCAGAGTTATGCCATTGACGCAGTTTACAACTGCAATCTGCCACCCTTTTGGCGTTCTCATCCAGACCTATGGTTCCTGCAGATTGAATCAGTCTTTCAAGCCCACCGTATACAGTCCGATAGCACCAAGTACTATCAATTGGTAAAATCACTGGACCCGGACACAATCACGGAAGTTGCAGACATCTTGAAGGCTCCACCACCTCAAGATAAGTACCAAAATCTCAAGTCTAACCTAATAAGTAGACTAGCAGCCTCCGAAGACTCTCAGATGGACAAACTGCTCACGGATCTAGAACTAGGTGACCGAAAACCCTCACAGTTGCTTCGTGAAATGCGAGCCCTTGCCGGCAATCGTGCTACAGAAGACGTGCTCCGCATACGATGGCTGTCAGCATTCAGCACTTGCTGGAAATTTTCAAGGCCAATTCACTTAACGAACTAGCTGCTGCAGCTGATGAGCTCATGACAAACATCCCTGGTGGCAGTGTCATGGCCGTCAACCAGAGCTCTCGCCAGCATGGACATGGTTCTTCAGTAGCCTCCGAGCTGAACGAACTCAGACAAGCCATCACAGAACTAACCATTGCTCAGAAGGACCTCACTTCTGCCATCAGACAGAGTCTCACCTCTACCAGTCGACAACCACGTGAGCGTTCTGTCACTTCTGGAGAATGCCGATATCATCGAAAATTCGGTGCCCGGGCCCAAAAATGTGTGCAACCCTGCACATCTCAGCTGCCACTAGCATCTCCGCGCCAGGAAAACTAAATATGCTGTCGCCTGTTCAGGTGGTAAGCGACAGCAATGTCAACAGCACCTGCCTCCCATCTAAAGAAAGTCGCCTGCACGTCATAGACAAGGTCACTGGCATGAAGTTCCTTATCGACAGTGGTTCCGTTGTATCCTTGATTCCAAGAAGCTTCTTTCAACGAAAACTTCTGCCTGCTGACCTCATGCTATATGCAGCCAATGCAACAGTTATCAAAACGTATGGTCAACACTTTCTTAACCTCAATTTTGGACTCCGCAGATCCTTCAAGTGGGCATTTATCATTGCAGACGTCAAATCAGCAATCATAGGTGCCGACCTGCTTTCACATCATGGCCTCCTTCCTGATTTAAAGCACAAGCGCCTTCTGGACTATCTCACCTCACTGTCTTCTCCTGCTGAAATGCATGAAACCGAACTTCATACTGTTTCCACTGTCAATAATGCAGAATATGCATCTCCTACACTCAGTCAACCCTATAGCAAGTTGCTGGAAGAGTTTATTGACATCACCCGTCCAAGGTCAGCCCCATCAGTGGACGCCCCTACAGGAACTCATCACCACATAGTCACCACTGGACCGCCAGTCAATGACCGTCCACGTCGGCTAAACTCAGAGAAACTAAAGATTGCTAAAGAGGATTTCGACCTCCTGTTGCATCATGCTGTTATCCCTCCCTCCAGCAGTCCATGGGCCAGTCCTCTACACATGGTCCAGAAAAAGCAAGGTGGATGGCGTTCCACAGGTGATTTTAGGAGGCTCAATTCCCAGACTGTGCCAGATCGGTACCCCATACCACTACCAGAAGACATCTTTCAGCGGCTGCATGGGAAAAGTGTCTTCACTGTCATTGACCTGGTTCGAGCTTACCACCAAATTCCTGTAGCACCAGAGGACATACCCAAAACAGCGATAACTACTCCTTTTGGGCTTTTTGAGTTTCTGGGTATGCCTCCAGGCCTGCGCAATGCCACTCAGACATTTCAACGTCATATGGACAACCTTCTCCGTGGTATTGACTTCGCAGCATGCTACATTGATGACTTGATAGTGTTCTCGGATTCCCATGAGGAACATCTGCAACATCTACGCAAAATCTTTAATGTACTGCGTGAGAACAAACTCACTATCAACCTCAGCAAGTGCCAAATCAACAAGTCAGAAGTTATGTACCTCGGCTACTCCATCAACAAGCTCGGATACAAACCACCTGATTCCAAGATCCAAGCCATCGCTTCTTACCCCAAGCCAGAGACCATCTCTGACCTTCGTAAGTCTTTGAGAATGCTCAATTATTACCGTCGCTGTATTCCAAAGGCCGCTGAACTTCAAGCCCCTCTCAATGCATTTATGAAGGGTGCCAAGAAAAAAGACAAACGGCCCATCCCTTGGACACCCAGCTCAGAGAAGGCCTACCAAGACTGTGTAGAAAGCATTATCAAAGCGACTTGTACCAGCTTCATCTCACCCTCTGCAAGTCTCGCCCTCGTCACTGATGCCTCGGACTTCGCCATTGGAGCTGCACTTGAACAGCTGATCGACGACTGCTGGAAGCCCATAGGTTTTTTTTCCCGCAAGTTGAGTCCCACCGAAACGCGATACAGCACCTACGATCGCGAGCTGCTAGCGATTTTCGCTGCAATAAAGTTCTTTCGTCACCAGCTGGAAGGACGCCAGTTCATCATCAAAACTGATCATCGCCCACTGGTATACGCCTTTGCTCAGCGCGCTGAAAAAGCATCCCCCAGACAGCTCCATCAACTGGACTTTATTTCACAATTCAGCACAGAAATCGTCTATGTCAAGGGAGAACACAACGCCGTTGCTGACGCCCTGTCTCGTATTAACGCTATCTCCATGCCAACGTCACTGTCTCCTAAAGCCATCGAAGCCGCACAGCTTGAAGACCAAGATACGCCACAAGAATCATCGCTCAATCTGCAACAGCTTGTTATTGAAAACGCCAACGTCCTCTGTGATATCTCTTCAGATCGCATCAGACCCTACATTCCGACAAGTCTACGACGCAAAGCTTTTGATGTGCATGGTTTGGCACACCCCAGCGGCCGAGTCACTGCTCGAAGCCTCAAAGAAAAATTTGTTTGGCCTGGAATCAAGAAGGACGCCCTCCAGTGGTCCCGCCAATGCATTCAGTGTCAAAAATCCAAAATTCAACGACACAATCGTCTCGCACCACAGCACATCACCGTACCTGACAACAGATTCGAGCATATTCACCTAGACCTCATCATTTTACCACCAGTCAACAAATTTCGTTACTGCTTAACCATAATTGATCGATTTTCTAGATGGCCTGTTGCAGTACCCCTCCAGAACATGGAAGCTGACACCGTCTCGTCTGCTCTCTATGTCAATTGGATTTGCAACTACGGAACGCCACTATCCATCACAACTGACCAGGGCACGCAATTTGAATCTTCACTATTTTCGGCTCTTGCACGCCTTGTAGGAGCGCGGGTAATCCACACCACGCCCTATCACCCGCAGTCCAATGGCATCGTAGAGCGCTTCCATAGGACTTTGAAGGCAGCCCTTATGTGTCAAGCACCCACGCCCTGGACGGAAGTGCTTCCGACCGTTCTTCTGGGTCTGCGTACGTGCCTGAAAGAAGACCTGAATGCCTCACCAGCGGAGCTCCTTTATGGGACACCCCTGCGTATACCTGGTGAATTCTTCACCTCTGAGTCACCCCCAGCTGATCCCCAAGTCTTCCTCGAAAAATACCGGGACCACATCAGGAAAGTCCGACCAACACCTACGGCTCACCATATCAAATCTCGCTGCTTCATCCTCAAGGACCTCGCAACTTGCAGTCATGTCTTCCGCCGAGTGGACTCTGTTCGTCGCCCGCTCGAACCGCCCTACACTGGCCCGCATGAAGTCGTCAAGAGAATAAATGACCGAGTGTACAGCATTCGAATCAATGGCGTTGAGAAGACTGTCTCTGTGGACGCCCTGAAGCCAGCCTACACCCTTAAACCCGATACCGTTTCATCCACCCTGGAGAATCACCCTGCGTCATCCTTCACCATGGACCGCCCTCTTCGCACTTACTCAAAAAAGAAGGTTTCGTTCCTCCCACAAGTGGCTTCGTCACTGGGAGGGGAGTAGATGTGGCGTCATTGTTCCGCGAGTCCGTTGTGTTCAACCCTGGATGGCTCAACTATTGTGTACAACCCTGGCGGCCTGACGTGACGTGACAGAAGACAGCTGTCCCAGGTTGTTGTTTACTTCTAGTCAGCTTGTTGCCGCGCAATTATGATATCGTGTTGTTGTTAACAAAATAAAGTATTTCGATTTATTTGTATGTTCAGTGCCCAGAATTAAACCGAGTTATTAGTAAAACAGTGTTTTCATTCGCTGGTGATATATCAAGCAAACACATAGCAGTAGTAGCTATAACTACTCAAGTGGTGGTGACATCTATTAATAATTTTGGAAATTAAAATCTAGACGTCATTTCCGCATAAATTCGGCACCCTCGTACTGTGGATTTATTCATTTTTCATTCTGTTCTTTCTGTAAATACTAACACAGATAATCCAAAACCAGTCTATTATTTTTTTATAAGCATTGTCCATTTTCAAAATAATTAGATTCCAGTGGCTGCAATTGCTGCATTTCCATTACATTCATGTAGAACCTCAAGGATGTCCTGTGCTTCTCCATTTGGGAAATGCATTTTGACTTTAGAAAATAGCGTTTGAAGTTTCAAAAATGTGTCAGCCTGACATACTTAACTGGTATCTGTTCAATTTACGAGGGCTTTTTCATAAATACTGATTATTTTTAATAAAATCAATGTTAACACTCTCTGGAATGCGTTTGTAGGAAGGTATAATAAAGAAACACTATGTAAAACATCCTCAAAAATCGATCTAACATATCTCAAATATACCGTTCCATTTGAAAATTTTGAGAAAAATTGGAAATATTCAATTGTTGTCAAATATTGACCCATAGCGTCAGTCCTACTAACCAAAATTTGAATTTTTCACAACAAAGTTAAAGAAGGGACTCTTGTCTTTCCAACGAACCTAAGATTGACCAGATTTGTTGAGTCGTTTAGAAGTTATCCGGTTTCTTGTGTTGCAATATTTGACAGCTCATAACTATCTTATCCGATAAGTTATGGTAAAAAGTCATGAATCACAATTGTGTGAAATTTCATCAAAAATCTATTGTTAGCATTTTTGAGATACGTTTCCATTTGAAATTTAAAAAATAAAACCATTTTTGTACTTTGACAGTTAGGTTACGCCCCCTTACGGTCATTTTATAAAAAGCTGAAATATATTTCCAGCATTTTCTCTTGGCCATATTTATGGGATAATTTTTTTCCGACAAGACTACGATAAATAGTTTTTGAGATATGGCCGAGTGCCATTCTTAATGAATCACCCTGTACATAATTTAGTGCAACCTCAATCATATTTTCTATTTTTGTAGAGTAATTATCACTTATTTTCTTTCACATAGGTACAGTTGATGTTCATTCTGTTAAGATCTTTAAACTTGTTTTTCTAGACATTACTTAATTGGAATTTGATTTCGTTCAAAGACGAAAAAAGAAGAAGAAAATAGTTCTGAAATATCGTATTTTCTAAATAAAAATCACTCTATTACAGTCCTGATATCTGATCTTTTCCATAAAGCGTTTATTTCCAACTTGATAAGACAAGTGAATTTCAACTTTCGTAGTTTTCTAATTTCATTTTTCATTAGAAAGTAAACCTGTCACTTATTATTTTCAGGGTCTTCGATGTTACATAAATATTTTACTCGGCGATTACTTTTTTAATTTTGAAAATAGGTAGGAATTCCTAAGACTTATCTTAACCAAAAATATTAATTTGTGTGTATAAATAGATTTAAAAGTTTTCAAGTATTTGGCAAATTCAAATTTTCAATGCTTAAATGTTGACAGTCAGTGTCATGTAATCAGGTAGAACTGAATCTAGTTGATTTCTTTTTTTCCTAAACCCAGTTTTAACAATTTTTGACTGAAATCTCAGCCATTGAATCAACACAGTGTCAAGCCAAGCCAAAACAACATTAAAATAAATTATAGGTATGGTATTTAGGTATTTGATCGAAATCAAGATTCCTTATTAAAATACCTAAAAATAAAATAAATATTTATAAGTACCTATTGATTCAAAATGGCATTGTGTTAAGTATTGATAAAGTATATTTTTTCTTTTAAGAGATTTGGACCACAACAAAATCGCTAAACTTCACAGCAACTCCATCAAGGTATCAGCGCAACAAGTGTAAGTAAGTTTTCTTGTTTTTTAGTTTTCCCTTATTTACTTGTGTTTTGTTGAAGGTAATGCCAATTTTTTTTTTGTATCTATTTTAGCACGTTAAATTTCAATGACATAACTGCCATAGAGGATTACGCCTTCAATGGATCTCAAATTGGAAAACTGTAAGTGCATAATTACGTTATCTAAGTTTTATTAAGGGTCGTTTCCTGCTTTTGCTTTTGATTTTTTGAAATCTAAGGGATTTTATTTCAATAAACTCCAAATTTTGTTAACATGAAATCAAAAGCAAAAATACAAATTTATTATTACAAGAATTATCTTCAAACGTTTTTATTTTTTCGAAGTATTTAATTGGCTAACGTAAAGATAATAACTCATGACAAGCAACTCCCAGAAATTAATGTGGTTTCGATTAAATATTGAATTATTATTCCAGACATATCACGGCTAATCCAAAGCTAACAGAGTTGGGGGAGTTGGCTTTCAAGGGTCTGCTGAACTTGAGAGAATTGTAAGTTCATATATTATATAATCATATTATCTTTTACATTTTAATTGTTCGTGTACCGAGGTAAGTTTTAAGGCAAATATTTATTAAAATAGATCTATATTTTCATGTAGGCACACTCTTTCACTCAATGATGATCTACTACGACTACTACTACTACTACACGATCACCTATAAAAAATTACTTTTCAATTTCAATATATACCTACTTAATAACATTCAGCAATACGACTTTGAAATTATACAAAATATTCAGAAATAACTAATAGCTTTTTCATCATACTGTCAATCAAATTCCCATTTTTCGAGTTATTTGAGTCTATCGATTTTAATCTGATACTCCAAAAAAATGTAAGTTGGTGGCTTCCTACATTATAACGCCAATGGTCACCTGACGTCACACCTGTTTTCGCCATAAGCTTCACCCCCTCGCTCCTTATACGGAAAGTGTCAGATCAAAAACGACGGACAATACATAGTTACCTACGTATCGCTGAACTGAAATTGTCATGAATCTCCTGGAATATCTTCTAATGTGCTGGAAATGTATCGCTGGAGCAACTTTGATACCAAACATTAACCTATTTATATTGTGCAATCTCCTCTCGGTGTGGTAATAGCTTGAATCTGCGCACTTTTTGAATTCCTTGACATTATGTCTCTCGAAAATCTAACATTATTTACCATCCAACATTGTCTTTGCAAAAACGTCTTCTACATTTAGGTACCACCAAATACTAAATCCTGTCAAGTTTTTCAATAACTTTTCCATATATTCGAAATACCCATCGGGGCTTGCGAACAAAACTAATTAATGCCTATCAAAACGTGGCTTCACAGTGGCATCTTGGACGCAGAGCTCTGCTTCACCAATTTTCGCGTTTATCGTAGGATCGTTCACTAAAGACCAGTATTTTCAAGAGAGGGGGTGGAGCACTAATAGCCATTCATAAATCTATACTTAGTGAAAGTTTCTGAAACTATTGAACAGATCTTCGTTTCGGTTGGTACTGGTAAGGCTAGCTTTATCCTAGGAACAGTTTATATACCTCCCAGCTCTCCTTTCCAAACATATCTAACATGGATAGAAAGCCCTGAGTTTGCCCAACTCTCCTTTGCATATTGTTGGTGATTCCAATTTAAGGCACGCTCTATGGCAGGATAGTGATTGAACTCCACTTTGACAGCTAGCGATGTAGCGTATTTTCAAGAGGAAGCCTGCATACAAATTATGTTTAATACCTGCAACTTTCACCAATAATTTCTTCACATGACAGCCTATTGGATTTTGCTTTGACTCAGGATCCAGAGACAAATGTCAACATGGTCGAATTCTTCCTGGTTCGTTCTGTTATTCACCTACCCCTTCACTTTTATTCATTGGAAGAGTACTGCTTCTCTGTTTTCTAAGGCAGCAGGAGGTGTTCTTGTAATTTATGTTTTCACTGTCGTGGGGTTTATTATTACGCATATGTTTTCGTATTTTTTTGTACTTTGTTCTTTGTTCTTATATGTGGATGTATTTTCACTGGATAGGACTGGATATGCTATTGATAATGATGTTGATGTTCAGTGCTATTATTATCATTGTATTGCTTACTTTTACTTTTACTTTTACGCCCTTACTTTTGGATTTTTTAATTGTGACAATTTCACAACATGTATAATATGTCTATGGAAATAAACTATTTGTATTTGTATTCATAAGATGTCAATGAGTACTGAAGCTGATGCTCCACTTCGAATCTTGGCCCGTTCAAAACAGTGTACAACGGTTTTCATCTCCTCCACTTCGAAGCTTCATATTTTTGTAGATATAGATATAGAAAGAAAAATATTGACTCGCAAAAATGCTTTAAAAACTCTTCGTTTTTCGCAAGTTAATCACCCTGTTTTTTCGAAAATCAGCATAATCAGCAACGCTAGAATGACTGAAATAGTTTATCTTGTTTGTTGATTACGATAACTTCACAAATTCACTCTTCTAAGACAAAGCATTTAAAAATCTCGACCTCCGCCTGCCTCGCTATTATTATTTTTTTATTTTTATACACCCTAGATGTCTGAGAACAGAAAGGTAAAAAAGAGGAAGTTATATAAAACGGGTACCTACCTACAGAAAAAAAAGCGATCGCGAGAAAACGACAATTATTAGAAGCTGCAGCATCCATCCAACAACTGACTTCATTTTTTTTTTTTAATACTAAAACAAATACAAATCCGTCAACCGAGGGAAGTTTCGAGGATGCTTCTGCATGTCCTACTTTTACAGATATTGTAGAAACAGAAGAACTATCCCCGATTGCAAGAAATGACCCACTGTTACAAGCAGCATCAAGGAGTAGTACAGCAATGTGCCCTGCCTTCAATACCAGAAAATCAAAAAGGGGTTCAGGAAGACTCAATGCCCAGATTGCCCGGACCATCACCGACTTCGTGAAGAAAAGAATATGATGTATAACATTCCGAAGTACATTTAGCCTCTAGCCCCAATTCTGAGATACTATTATATATCCTGTTGTTTTTTTTTTATGTTACCTTTACTTAAACCATGGCTTGTTGGAAGACCAAATTCAATTTCTCCTAAATCTGCTCTCTCCATTTCTCAATTTTCTGTCTCCATTTTTGTCTATTATAACATCATTCCTCTAACATTCTAAAATTTAAAATTTTCTCTCCTGATTTTTGAATTCTTCAGTTCCAATGTTTGTCTATTCCAGGGTCTTGAATTTCTTTTTTTTTCCAAACTCCTCCAAATAGAGAAAATTCAGAAGAACCATTTTTCTCGTCAATATTATCTCAATTATTCTTGAATTTCCTCTTTGGATTTCTCAATTTTTATCCATTTTAAGCATTTAAACTCCACACCAATGTTTTCTCAAGTAAACTAAATCTGCTCTCTTTATTTCTCAATTTTCCGTTTATTCCAAGCTCTTGAATTTCTATTTATTTATTTTTTAATTTGAATATAGGAAATTCAAAAGCCAGTAATAGATAAACAACACTTGAATCATGGCCTGTTGAATGTCAGGATTCATATCTATTGGATTTTTTCAAAATTTATATAATTTACAGCACTCATTAGGTAATTAATGATTGCTTCTTTATGATTATCTTCATTGAAAATTCCTATAGCAAAATGTCGAAATTTCTGAATCTCCTTGGATCTCCGCAAATTTATTTTAGAATCTCCATAATATTTTTAATTGATATCCTAAAATCTATTCCTAGCATACAAAATTTCTTCAAAAAGTATTTCAAAATCTTCTGGATCTCATCAGATATCTCTTTAATCTTCTTGGAGCGCCTCAGTTAATATTTGTATGTCGTTGTGGAGCTTCCCCAGATATCTTCAGATATTCTTCCTTTGGAACACCAAAAACAATCTCCTAGATTTACTTGAATCTCTTCAGATTTCCTGAAATCTTCAATACCTTCGGATATCTTCAAATTTTCTGCTCTTGGTATACAGTGCGTCCGAAATTCGAGTCTCTACATTGAGATTGCGCTTATTATGAGAGATACAGGGTGGCTCAAATTAGGAAATTTTTAGGGAATTTATTGCTCATTTATATCCTGTTGTTAAATTTGCTTCAAAGTTTTCTGTTTCCTAGAAATCCGAGAAAAACTGAAAATAGCCAAATAAAATAGAATAAAATAGAATAAAATAAAAAAACAAAGAGAAAAAGATATATAAATACAAAAACTATAAACTAAATCAATAAAATAAAATTAATGAACATATGACTACAAATTATAAGATAATTATAACATAATTCAAAACTATAAAATGTCTCAATACTATACGACTCGGTCTACGACGACTGAGGGATGAACGTGACTATTTAGTTAGCTTATGAGAACATAAGTGGTTTTATGTCCGATTGATCTACGACGTCGTGGCAATATTCCCCACTTGTTACTGTAATGAAGCTCATACCTCACCAGTAATATCAATAACTACCTATTATTGAATGAGGTTTGGGTTGGGTGGGCCACTTCACTATTTGCCCGGTGGACCAAATGACCCCCAGTCCGACACTGATAATAGAATGTTAAATATTTTGTATGATGTTATTTTCGTAGCTATTGATAGTTTTGTACATACATTTAAAAAAGTATTCAGTCAAAAAGTTCCTGATATAGTTTTCTGCTAATCTTGACGATTGTATAATTCAGAAGAAAATTGCTCGCAAAGAATTCAAATTCACTCAATCAAGTGATGATTTTCAGGAGTTTGACAGATTGAGGCATTTGTGCTAACAACTGACTGGCATCTCATAATAACGTTGACAATAAACGGAAAAATAATGCGTTTCCTTCTGAGCTTGGCTATCTAGACCAGTCAAGTGATTCTGGTAGGGATATTGCTAACATTTTTGCTGGTTGTTTCCGCAGTCTATTCATAAAATCACCCTGATACACGCAACCATGAAATTTCTTCATTTATTATTCATATCCCTAAACTGCATATCACAATTCCTGATATCTTCACTAAATTTCCATCTCTACTAGACTTTAACAAGGGTCCAGATTACCTACATTATTTCTTAAAAGCTGCTGCTTTAATCTATCGAGACCTCTTTTTACTTCAAGCTCCCCCTCCAAACTGGTTTGGAGGGAGAGCTTGATTATTGGAAGGAAAGCTTTCTAAAGCCGATTTTTCAGTCGGGCAGTGGGTCATGTGTAACAAATTATCGTTCTACAAGCATCTTGAGTGCAATTTCCAAGGTTTTTGACAGTTTAATTTGCGTCTTGCTGTCTCCTCTTCTTGAGCCTTTGATTAACCAACAGTTTTGTTTTAGACCTTAGTTCCTCATAGTCTCTTAGTTCATAAGCTATTAGCGGAATGTTTGGCATTGGTGAACCTCTTGTCTCTTAGTTTTGGAGCTATTTAACTGGGCGCAAACAGGTTGTTAAGATTGATAGTTTCCGAGGATTGTGACAAACTCCAGTATGTATGACTTGCATAGCCTCCATGCTTGGTGTCTCATCAGCAATGGAATCGATCTCAATCCTGGCAAATGTAAGGCCATGACATTTTCGCGCTCCAGGACTCCAATAAATTTTCAGTTTATGATCAGCCAATGTCATCTCGAGAATATATCTTTTGTCAAGGACTTGGGTATCACTTTGGATTCAACTCCCCTAGTTTTCTCAATACTTTGGTAATGTTATCAGTAAGGCTTTCAAAACACTTTATTATTGTGCTCTTGTTAGCCTTGCTGCCTCTGATCTCCCTTTTATGGGTCCCACATTCAATCTCTCTGTCTGGTTAAGCAATTTTTCCTGGATTCCTATACGGTCTCTGAAATACTAACTTTACTGAATATATTACCAATCGTATCACGTTATGAAAAAAAGAGATCTCCAAAGTTTTTATGATATATTACATGGTAGAGCTAATCAAATACTGATAAAAAGAGAAAATCGTGGGAATGGAAGTGGCATGAAACAACGATGTGACTTCGTTCATACTATGCAATAATGACAATTTGTGAATGACAAAGATTTTATTTACTAAAGTTGCCTAGTCAAGAACAATAGAATATTGATAGGTGAATCTAAAACTAGATAGAGTGGCGCTACGATATTTTAAACACAGAATTGCTCCACAAAGTTCACGTGTCCCTAATAGAGCTACAAGATCCACAGATATAGCGCTTCCACTTCCCGATTCACCGAACCATTTATGACCTGAAAACATTTATTCCCAGAACTGCCAGATTAGCCAATCAACATCATAACATACATTTTTATTGCATCTTGCAAAATATTCCTGCATCAGGTCCATGGCTGCGTTGGACTGTGATGTAGGCAAGTGACTAGTCGATATCTGATAGGTAGGTACGTCATTTTTGACCCACAAACAAGGGGAGAACAGAAATCTTTCCTCCCGGCGGTGAAAATATCCAATTCGTATGTCTACGTGAAGAAAATTTAGGTCGATATCCACCTTTTCTTCGAAACTCTGTATTTTCAATTATAATGAAAATATCAGAGTGAATAAAGAAAAAATGGAAATGTTCGGAAAAGATCAGGCTACAATTTGGTGTTGAAAACTGTTCTCAATTCCACTTCACATGATGTCTCAAAAAACTCTGAAAATTACTTACTTTCTTTCCATCGCTGTATCTAATAATCTGATATAAACAAGAATCATTCAATAGCGGTAATACGTAGATCCATTCGTGAAAAATCAACCTACAATCTGTGAAAAATACATACGAAATCAGAAAATTAATGTCAATATCAAACTTAGCGTGAATTTTGTCAGTATTCTAATTTTGCCGATGTATTTATTTATTATTATCTTTTTATTTTTCGAGGGATTTGTCGCAGACATCAATAACAACGCTTCCGTATGAAGGTCTGGAAACGATAGAAGTGCTTAAAATTCGGGATACAGCTACGCTCCATACTATTCCCAGTCTTTATGATTTACAGGTATGTAAAAGCTTTTAAAAAACCCATATAGAGTATGGAAGGTAAATGCAAAAAAAAAAGAACAACCAGCTGTAGGCATTAAAAAATAAAATCCAATTACCTATCCATCCATGATGTTATGCAAACAAAATACTTTGTAATTAAAACACAAATTGGGGCCTGGGGGTGATCCAGGTTCATAATAGGTAGGTACCTACTCAAAAAATTCAGTTTTCACAAGTTCTTTTGATGTTTTAGTGGTAAAGCAATGAATCTGAAAGATGTTACATCAAATTTAAATATACAGGCATACAATATTTTTTTACTTTTTAGAGTCTAAAAATGGCAAAACTAACCCACCATTTCCATTGCTGCGCTTTTAAATACCCAAAACAACATGCACCGACAAAACACGCCCTCTACGAAGACCAAATGCGTCAAATTTGCGTCCAAAATCAAAAATCAGTGCAAACGAATGATTTCAAGAAGAGAAAAAGGTCTTTGGGATATACTGATTAGTAAGTGATAACCAAGAATTTTGAGAAAATTAATTTATATCATTCTGTTTTCCAGCATGTCACAAATTCCACCTCAGCTACATCGACTGACTAATTTGACATTCAACGTGCCAGATACCAACCAAACGACTAAAAGACCTTTAAAAGGGCATTTTATCGAAAACCAAAAACCTAGAGAATATGAGGATATTTACGAGGACATGGGAACTTTTCATTCTAGCCCTACTAAAATCAATGATACTCCTATTGAGGTGTTTTGTGGGAATATCAGCTTCAAGTAAGTAGCAATTCAGGGAAAATTTGTTTCATAACTAGCCTTCTCATCTACATATACTGTCTGCGAAAGATATTAATGGAATGCCATAAATAAAACTCAAGATATTTGAAAGTCTAATTTAGTTCTATGTTTTACGTCCTTTTTTTTTCTGTTTGTCGTTCAATCATTCTTATAGATATTGATTTTTATTTATTCATTTATCTGCATAACTTTATTATTGTGTCCCCCCTTTAATTACCTAATTAATTTGGATATCTTTTCATTATCGCGATTATCCTTTCCTTTCCGAAGTATTAAATAATCAGCTTATTTTAAGTGGTCCTAAAAGCACGTTGTCTATATTGATACTTATTTATTCTCGCATTTCTTGAAACAAAACAAAAATAATACCTATTTCGTTTGGCAACTTTATTTTACTTTACAAATAATTATTATAAAAATAAAAGTACTTGCAGATTACAAAATGTCCAATGTGTTCCCGCTCCAAACGCCCTGAACCCGTGCGAAGACATTATGGGTTTTACATGGTTGAGGAATTCTGTATGGTTCGTGGTAATATTGGCTGTAGTTGGCAACACCGCCGTGGTCATTGTTATATGGTTTAGCAAAACAGAGGTAAGAATAGTTTCATAAGACGTCATTTTATCGCACGAGCCCTATATTAGAGTCTAAAGGGCGAGTGCGATAAAATGTCTTATGAAACGAATATTTTATTCTATTTTTTCTATTTTGGTATTGTTCAATTAACATATGAAACCAAAATAGAAAAAATAAGTTACCTACTTATGGTAGTCTAAGAGCCCGCTCATTTTTTCGACCTTGAAGCGAACCACATTCCGAATGTCACGTAAACGATTCGTCGTGAAAAGACGTAGGTACCCGAAATGATAACGGTGCCTCTTGAGATTTTGCCGAAAGCATGTTTTTTTTTATTGAAAAATGTACCTTTTTTTTATAACATATACCTTTTTCATCCCGACGCACGAAATCAATGCCAAAAAGTTCCTTTTAATGCGTATGCTTAAAAAAACCTACGGTGCCGCGACCTATCCTGCCGCAACCCCTGGCACCGTGGCGATAAATGGGGTGGTTTAACGCAATTTACTACCTTTTTGGTAACCGTATATTTTTGCACCCGACCTGCAGCCTTTACCTTTACAGGTAGATGATAGGTGTAAATACAAAAGCTATGCAGTTTTAGCTAATTTTTTAAAATCCATCGTCAGAAACAATAATGTATGATCAGAAATTCGAAATTTTGTGTACTTTCAACTTTTTCCAAATGAAATGCCCTATATTTGATTTTATATTCTTGAAGAGCACAATTTTCCGATCCCAAAAATATATAAAGTTCGTTTCACCAGGGTTCATACTTGACCTTGAAACTTGAAAAAAAAAGGGATGTCGTAGATTAATTCAATGACATATTCAATTTTTTTGACAAATTAAAATTAATGACTTTTCTTTTAAGAACCGACGAACGTTTTTGACGTTATTGATTTGTTTCATTCAATTTTTATTTGTCAAACAAGGAAAGCAAATGCTGGTGGCAAGTACAAACCCTGGCGAAACAAACTATACATAGTTTCTCTGTATTTGGTAAAGCCGTATTCAACATATTCGGCTCTAAAAACTGTAGAAATACTATCCTACTGCCTTAGATTTTGTGAACCATTCTACCTGTCAAGGTGACAGCTGCAGGTAAAATATGAGGCACTGAGTTTCCCTGTTCCTTTTTTGAAAAATTTTAAAGCCAAATATGTTGGAGACGGCTCAACCAAATATAGACAAACTATATATTTTTGGAATCGGAAAATTGTGCTCTTCAAGAATATAGATTCAAATATAGGGCATTTCATTTGGAAAAAGGTAAAAGTACGCAAAATTTCAAAATTCTGATCATACATTATGGTTTCTGACGATGGATTCTAAAAAATTAGCTAAAACTGCATAACTTTTGTATTTACACCTTTCATCTACCTGTAAAGGTAAAGGCTGCAGGTGGGGTGCAAAAATATACGGTGACCAATAAGGTAGTAAATTGCGTTAAAGCACCCCATTTATCGCCACGGTGCCAGGGGTTGCGGCAGGATAGGTCGCGGCACCGTAGGTTTTTTTAAGCATACGCATTAAATATAACTTTTTTGCGTTGATTTCGTGCGTCGGTATGAAAAAGGTATGTTATAAAAAAACGGTCCATTTTTCAATCAAAAAAACATGCTTTCGGCAAAATCTCAAGAGGCACCGTTATCATTTCGGGTATAGTTTATTCAGAGATATAAGAAAAGTCGTAAAATGCAATAAATCATTACTGTATTGTTCGGTCAAGTAGGTAAGGAGACGGGTGGGTTGTACTAGCCCAATGTTCTGCTTATTCATTTCAACTTAGAAAGTCACTTATTTGACACGAAATGAAACCAAATTTATCAGAATGTAAAATTACTTTATTAAAAAATTACAATAAATGTTACTTGCTATTATGGAGTGGCCATATAATTTGATTCATGAATTTATAATATAGGAATATTGCAATATCTTCTTATTATACTTATTTGTTCTTTTTGAACAGGTAAACTTATGTTAATGATGTGGATTTTAACTGCAACTAAATTGGGGTGGGAACCCTACCACGAATTAGGTGCGAGAGGTTAATTATTATTCAATTTTATTTTGTTTACCTTCCAAATTTCATGGAAGATTTAATGCCTTTGTTCTATTCTTAGGTAGGTAATACCCTTGTAATATTGAAAAGTAGGTCTACAGTGCGTTTCATGAGGGTTCATACCCACGTGGTCAATTGTCTTATCTTAAAACCTGAGTGAAACAAATTATTGACGCCATAGACATTAGTTATTGACGAAAGTATGAACCGTCATGAAACGGACTGTACCTACGTTTCCGTCGGAATTTCGCCTGCCGATGCCGGTTATTATTATTTACTAACTTACTGTCACTAGAAATCTGCAAACTTGTTTTAACACTATTACTTATTAGAAGAAACAAAAAAATCTGAATTAATATTGCCATATTCAAAACAAAATCAAATGCGATCCTGAACGGGGCTGCCATAAATTATTTTTCCTGTTGCTTTTATCAATATAAGGGGGGTAAGCACGTGGCCCAACAAAGAGGCAGATGATTTATTGCATTTTACGACTTTTCTTAGATCTCTGAATAAACTATACGTCTTTTCACGACGAATCGTTTACGTGGCATTCGAAATGTGGTTCGCTTCAAGGTCGAAAAAATAAGCGGGCTCTTAGACTATGGGGGTTTTGTTTCCAATTCACCCTTATATTGTTAATAATTTATTTAGCCAAACGCTGATTTTTCAAATGTGCCTTGCAATTAAATAAAGGTAGACAATAATAGTATATTGTATTGTTCAAAGTAGCTTTTAGTCTGAATGAAAAGATTTTTTTTTTCTCAAATCTCTCAATCATCATACATATAAGAAAAGGTTAGAAATTGTTTTCTATGAAAAACTTGGTGACCTACTTCACACAATGGGTAGGTAGTAAAAGTCTACAACTTATTTAGTCTTCATTCTTCAACATGTCTAGATGATCTTCAATCTAAAGAATATACAATTACGACTTTAGTTTTTCTTTTCCAAATCCAATCTTAATCCATAATAATCAACAAAATCATCGGAAGAGAATGGATGGATGCAGAAAATTAAAGTTGTATTACCTGAAATTTGTCAACTACCAAATGAAAATGTTCCAGATTACCTACTTAAAATCACAAATTATAAAAAAACTCAAAAATAATTTTTCAGAAGTTTTCAAACCACAACTTCGAAAAGTTTCAAAAATTATAATGCTAAATGATTTCTACCAAACAATAACCAATTTATGTTTTTGTTCGAAAAGTTTCCTGTGCATTAAAAAAGAAAGTTGAAAGAGAAATCAACCGATTGGAGAAAATATTAGTGTTGACTGAAAATGGAATGCAGTAAATAGGAAACAACTGTTGTACCAATTATGAAAAGTTACGGTTCTGTCAGACTTTGTGCGGACTTTAAAATTACATTAAACAAAGTTTTAATAAATGATAAATACTCAATTCAAAACATAGAAAATATTTTTGCGACTAGAATTCACGGAGAGAAAATCTTCCATTACTTAGGATATTTGTGAAACTTATTCATATATGCCAATGGATGAAGAAAGTTCAAGAATGAAAGCAATTACTACGGATTATAAAGTACCTACAAAGTTGCTCCTGCTATCAGGCAACGTTACATTTCATACCTATTGAATAAAATACCTGGAATTTTTGTATTTTCAAATGATGTCCATATACAAGCAGGAGCGACATTCAAAGAAAATGTAAATAGAGTATAGGAATTGTTTTACACAACGTCTACTAGAAGCTAACTTCATATCAAATATGTAAATTCTTTGAAGAATCCATAACATATTTGGGACAGAAAATTTCAAGCAGAGGCTTAAAGAAAACAATGGAGAAAACTGAAGATAAAATAAAAGCTATCAAAAATATACCAGTACCAACAAATGTTCCTGATTTGAAAAGATGGTTAGAATTTATCACTTAAATTTACTGCACTTTATTATCCTGCATCAAATGGTTCAGTTGAAAAATGTGGGAACCATGAAGAATAATACTTACTCTAGAAAAAATTGGTAGCTGATCCTGGAAATCATGATTTGAAACTTCATAATTTTTTAATGCTATACAGGAGAATACCACACACTTCTACGAATCAGTAATTAATGTCTGGCAGATAAATACGAACTAAACTAAATTTCAAAAACCCATCGAGATGGCAAATCGAGCAAGTTTAAGGTGGGCGAAATCGTTTGAGTGAGAAATTTTGTCAGTAGGAATAATTGTCTAAGGAAATTTGGTAAAGTTAAAAAAAAAAGCAATCTTATTTATTTGATTGAAATGGAAGATAGAAGAATCAGAAGACATGTAAATCAAATTACCTCGACTAAAGTAGAGTTTCTAGTATCGCAACATTCACAACCTAACGTTTGTTATGTTCCAAACATAAAACAAATTCACGATGCCGAAAATACTACAATAAAAATGTTGTACGCGTTTCATCTACCAAACATTTTTCTTCTATCGATCCTGAGCAAAGCCAAAACTCATCAATGTACCATCGTCACCAAAATTATCTGGGACATGAATAATGCATAATAATCTCCTGGACTAGTTCTACTGTCATTCATTTCAATACATTTAATTCATAGTTTAATAAATATTTGACAATAAAATTCATATAATAGGACAAGAGCTAATGTGATGCTGTCCCAGTTACTTTTAGTGATGATGGTACATACTAACAACCAAAACATGCCAACTTTTTTTCAATTAAAAACCAAACTAGACCAATTCTAGAAAATACTGAGACATTGCGAAGAAGAAGGTACCAGAATAAGAAAACAACCAAAAAAACTGAACCTCTAAATTTGTCATGAAGGATTTGTAGTGCCCACTATGTTTTATTGTCAAAAAACTTATCTAATTACTTCAGTTTAATACTAAAAGCAAATACAATAGGTATAAGGTATTTTAGATAAAAAGTTGTTAGAGAAACTGCAACATTATTATTATTTAACACTAAGAAAAGCAGTTACTTC